GTACATAGATTCTTAACATTTTTCAGTATTTATATTTTATTGACAGGGTTATAATCAAAAATAAAATTATACAATGGTTTTTTTTTTCCATAAAGTACACAGTCCTCGAATTTACTCGTTTGGTGGTTTACAATAAGAGCTTGTCCCGTCCAAAAATGCATGTGAATATGGTCAAAGAATATTAAAATGTCTCATATGTACAACATTCGAACATAATTTATATTCTGTTTGATTTTTTAAAGTGCTAAAGGGATCGATGATAATTGAGAATGATGTCAATAATTGTTGGAGTTGGATTCGTCACAGAATCTAGTCCGCTAAAAGCCTGAGTCAAAGTCTGTCGTTAAAGAGAATACAATGGGCCTGAGGCTCATTATCAGATAAAATATAAGGTTTGGCCCTAAGACCTGAACTAGTCATAAGAACCCGGAGTCAGCTCGACGGTTACCAAATCAACGAGGAATGAGCTGACGAGTTATGAACGAGTCAACATAGCGGTTGGCACAGTCAAGGGAGCGAGATTTCCGGAAAATATACCGAGAACGTGCTCGAGATATGCGGAACCGCTCTGGAGACGTGGAGCTGGATCAAGGAGCTGAAAGGAGCTGTAAATAGAGGAGATCCAAGTGGATTTCGAGCAACTTTTTGCTTACGCGAGAGCTAAAACACTACACTTTCAGCTTGTAACACGTCTCAGTCGAGATATTATTGTATATTCGATTCATATCAATATAAATCCAGATTCGTTTTACTTTTCATTTAATCGTTGAATTTATAGATCTTTAATTTCTTAGGACCAAATTTTTTTTTCCGGATTCACGTATAAATACTTAGTGCGAAATTCAGTTTCCACAATAATTTCTTAGAACCACAATAACGATACTTATTTCTTACATTTCGATGATGTTAATAATATTCATTAAATTGTGTCAAAACTGTCTCGAAGGGATATGAATTATGGGGGTTTTCCCCCTCATTTTAGTCAAGCGTAACCAACACATCAAACAGCTTTAGATTAATCATCATATTTGACGAAATATAGGACTCGATTAGAAGAGATTAATGTGGTTGGGAATGGGACAATTATTTGCATATGATGCTATTATATATGCCATTTAGCTAGGGTGTCCACATGTTAGGTAGAGACACACTCGATTCGTTACACGTGAGGTGTGTCGGTTCGGAATGTTGGTTTGAACCAATGTTTTGAAAACTGGACTGGACACCGATTCGGTATTGTCATTAGTTGACTGATCAGACCGGTTC